GGGGGGGGGGATTTGTAGGGGGGGAATTCCGTGGATTTGTGCACGCGCCGGAATACCTGAGCCGTTAGCAAGATCTGTCAGAGACATTTTCGTTATGGTTTTTCGTTATAGTTTTTCGTTATAATATGATGTTTCTTTGAAAAAACAAAAGCACATGAACAATGGTGTGGGCCCTCAAACACATCCTATGGGGCGGCGTTTAGTTGACTTTTTTCAAGTGGTTGACAATAATTACGACGTCTTGATTCCGTGAATTGGTGCGCGCGCCATAATCCTGAGCCAATGGTGCGATGTATTGCAGGTTCGTTCTTTATGGTTTTTCAATGGTGGCGGGGAATACATCTCTGGGACACCCTATAAGATGATACTTCTTAAAAAAACAAACAAGAAAAATAGGTCGGACCCTCAGGAAAACATATTCAATGGAACGATGAAATTTAGGTAATTTATCCAAGTGGCGACAATGTTTGGGGAGATTCCGTGGGGTGCTCGCGGCGTATTACCTGGGTTGTCATAGGTTTTTTCTTTATGTTATATCGTTATAATATGATGTTTTTTAAAAAAACAAAAAAACATGAAGAGTGGTGTGGTACCTCAGGAAAAATATCCTGTGATGATATCTGGTTGATTATTTGAAGCGGTTGTTATTAATCATCTCGGATGGTGTATGTCACGATGACTGAAAGCCAATTGTCAATTCGCCGTCGCGAACAAGTTGACTCATGGCTCATGTCACATAATGAAACATACATGTAAGTTTGTGCCTGGCATGATCTAAACTTTGATGACATGTTTATTCTCTCTTTGTTTTTTGTAGTTTTTCATTCAAGATGTCCAAGTGTGATGTATGGTTCATAGTGAACGTCAAAGAACCGGGCCAGAGAATAAATGACCATCGCAGAGGCACTTCAGGATAATTTCTTTATTAACATGACCAGACTATCTCTGATCAATTTTCGCAAAATAGAGGAGTGTAACTGAATTCTCAATAAATTGAATAGTCATTGGGCTGACATAGCTAGTATTCCTTTTCACCTTTCAAATTTTGAGTAATCACTTTTAAAACACAACATTTCAAAAACCAAGATCGAGGTACTTCTTTGACACCTGGAGACAGGAAATTGACATGCAAAACCTTACGCAAGCGACTTGCAAATGATCTCTGCAAATCCTCTAGTACTGGGTGACGTCCCTACACCTTACTTTTTCTGATGAGTCTTTGGTATCCTGAGACGTCTTGAATCCGTGAATTTAAGCTCGCACCTAATACCTGAGCCAATGGATGCGATCTGTCAGGGGCATTTTCTCAAGGTTCATCGTGGTGATCGGATGTTTCTTTAAAAGAAAAATAAAGAATAGTGGGGGCTCTCAAAAGTATGTTATGGGATGATGTCATCTAGTTGATTAAAGTGGTTATTGGTTATGGGCAATTTCGTGAATTGGTGCTCGTGCCTTATACCTGAGCTGATGGTGCAATCTATCAGTGGCTCTATAGTTTTTCGTTAGTGGCGAAGATTACATCCTTCCAACGACACCCTATATTTTGATTTTTCTTTTAAAAGCAAAAGGGATGATTGGTGGGAAATTGGTGAGACGGTGAAAATTTATTTCAGTGGCTTGGTGATTTGTTGACCTGTGGCTTGTTGAATTTATGTTAGCTTTACGTTGGCTTTTTTCTTCATTTCTTGTTGACGTCATGCGGACTTTTTCTGGCTTTCTAGTGACCTGCTTACTAGTGGGGTGCTAGACTATATATGTTTTGTAGCGGACTTTAATAAATGCGCGTCGAAACGGCCGATTTACACGATATTTGTTTCTACTGGCTTTTTGCTGGCTTTATATTGAGTTATGTTGACGCTTTGATGACTTCTGTGATTTTTGTTTTGACTTTATGTTGACTTTACTGGTGAGCCGCTTGGTGTTGACTTGTGAGACTACTAATATAAATGGGGAATATCGGAGCAGTCTGACTCACTTGATCTGGTAATACTTATTTTGTCGATTTGTTGTTGGCTTTTGTGACGTTTTGTTGACTTTATGTTGACGTTATGTTCACTCTATGCGTACTCTATGCTTACTTTATGCCCGCTTCTCCAGTGACTTACCTGCCGCTCATGTGATACACTATGTTTTGTGGAGGCTTGATTAATACTCGTCGGAAGTGGCTGATTCCACACGATCTGGTGTATTTATTTGTTGACTGAATAGGGTGGTTGAGCTTTGTGAGCTTGACTGTTTTGGTGTCACTTAACGTTCTGATCAAACTTGATTGAGCTGGCTATTTTTATGTCTAGTTTAGGTGTCCTGTTTTCTTTGGAGTGCTGGTTGGAGGTGATTGAAACTGAGTCAGACTGACTTGGACTCATGATGCCATTCGCTTGCAGCTGTCTTAATATGGCAGACTTAATATTACTTGACTTTCTTAATCTCATTTTTTGGGTTTCTTGTAATAATTGGGTTGATTGCCCTTCTTTGGTAGAGATTTCAGCTTGAAATATTAATATGAGAGATTAGTCCATACGCAGCTAAGCCTAAATGTGAAACCTAGTTAAAAAACCAAACTTTATGCTATTCTTGCCCCAGTTGAGCGGTGATTGAAAATGACTAGGTCTTTAGAAATTACGATGTTTATTTTAAAAGAACACTCACTTAGAAGTAAGTTTGAGAGGTAAATTATACCCTATCATCTGTTTTACAAATTTAAACTATATACTTGTTTATTTACTGATTAGAAGTTAAACCGCCCGGGCATTCTTTTTCTTTTTGACACGCTATTAATTTAGGTATAAACAAGAATGCAGAATAATAACATTTGACACCTATCTCAGGTACTGTCCAATAGTCTTTTGAAGAATAATAAGACATTGAGAAACTTCAACTGGATTGTTGTAACCATGAGAAGCAGGGTAAGGATTTGTCTTTACTTCTTCAAGAAGCTCATTAGAAAACTCATAAAGGAATAAACGGAGCAACCAGTGGAATTAAAGATATAGAAACAATATAGATAGATGTAGTCATTGTAAAACGCAAAATCTGGTTATGATTGGCCTTAGTCGCTTTTACCTGCAACTCTCTTCAGATGATAACATTATGGTTCACTTCAACCTTTTGGACCTCCATAGAAGATCAACAGAGTATCGTTCTTAATCATTAAAATAAGATCTCGAACAAACGAACTGAGACCAATCCCAGTTTCTGGACACTTTACTTCTTTTCATGCCTTTCGTCAATTAAGGTGCAGGCCTATAGTAGGTTTTATACTATTATATAGGAATTTCAGTTCATTTAGACATTTGGGTTTCTCATTTATTTCATATCATCTTTTTCATATCATCTTTATATAAACTCTTTTTTTGGAATACTGAATTCATCCTTATCTAATCTGAAATATTCTATATTTTTGCTCGACCTAAGCCTAGTATAGTCAAAATGAAATTATAGAAAGCTGCTTAGGGTCTTTTTGTCAATCTAAGGTATTCGGCGTCTTCCAATTTCGAATAACCTACATGGGTTTGACCTACAAGGGTTTCATACTTGTGTGTTCTATAAACTTTTTGACATACCCTCTTATTTTTGTATCCAAATATTTTTCTTACACCTTTATATATATACTAAAATGCTTTAAAGGATTAACCGGGATATATCCCGAGGGGATTAATATATACATGTAAGCTCCGACTGCACGTTTAGACGATTATAGCCCAACCTCGGTGAATCAGTCTGTAGCGACATATACAAGTGCAGATAGTCTTTAACTAAGATATCATTGACCGTTTTCACTTTTTCATTTATGGCGCTTGACATCTTTATTTGCCTGTTTTAATTATACTCTCTTTTCCACCTTTAGTGATCGTTCTATAGAACCAAGATTTGAAGATGGAAGAGTTATGAATTTATTGCCCCGAAAGAGGGGTGAGGGCAGTCCGGCTTTTTTACCGGGTATAGTACATAATAGAAATGGTACTTTCTTTTTTTAAGTTCGTAAACCGGGTGGTATTGATATGCTTAACTATTGAAGATTTAGGTAAACTATTGAATACTAATGATATCTCATATAATTTTTATATTGAAATATCTTATTATGGAAGGTTATTGTGTTAGGGACTTCACGGGACATAGGATTTATGTATTACTATTTGATCACTGCTTTCCCCAGAGCTTCACTGGAGTTCTATCCCGCCTTTATATACTTTAACTAAGGGTCACGTGATAGGAAACCCTGAAACTCGAGAGAATATTCTATGAGTTGTTCAAAGTGATATCTGGCGGAAATCACAATAATAGAAGTGCATATAGTCATATATGCGCTTACAGGGACCACCAGTGTCAAGCTGATACCGGGGACCTTACAATAACGTTTTAATTATATATACTATATAAAGATAGATTTAAGCTTTATTTTTAACAAAGGTATATTCAGATCTGGTCATCATTTAAATTTGCTAGCTTATAGACGCAATTTACATTCGCATCGCGATCAATCCGCTAAATTAGAATCCGATTACTGAAAGTTTGATGAAATAATATCACACGCCGCATTAAAAGAACTGAAACCAGTTGAAGAGAAAATTTTACTTCTGGAACCTAGAATCGAAAAGGATATAGCTGTAACTATAAATCTAATATGTGTATCAACTGGTATAACTATAGATGTACCAGTATCTGATCATCATTTTACTCTGTCTTTATTTGTTGTAGTTGTTATTTATTAATGAATAAGACAATAGGATTATTATATATGTATCTCATTTTAATCATATCGTTCATGTATTAGAATCATTGCTCTTTAAAGAAAACTGAACTTTACCCAATCTAGGCTGAAATGTTATATAATTATACTAAACCTAGGTTTGATATAGTCAGAATAAAATTTCTTACTATAACTTTTGGTATATTCAAAAAATCCAATAGTTTATTCATCTTAGACGTCATCGTGATGTTTATGTTTGAAGAGGATTCGTAAATTTGTCATGAGTAGATATGGACATAGTGCGCATGAGTACTTTGTAAAACATTTCACAATGGAAGTAGATAAGAACTCATCCAAAGCATTCTATCATACTTGATAATTTACAAATGAATAGACATAGACGTAGTCATAGTTATGAGACATGTAAAGTATATTATAAAACTGATGAGATACTTCCTGATAGATATCATAAAAAAAGCGCAAACAAACAGAAATGATTAATTACTAGAGTATGAATTGAAACATAAAAGGAGTATATAAGTGACAACCCCCCGAAAAAGGATAGAAGAAACGGTAATTAATATACCTACAATTTATCTCGGAAAGCCAGCTGCTGAATGCTGATAGCTTTTGGCAATTCCGTAGCGAGTATTCTGGATTCCCAATACCGAACTATCCATTCTATCTCGAATTGCATCAGACTGCAACATTTATATAAGCAAGCGCCGACACTGAAAGAACGTTCACTGACATGGTCCCGGAGCCGATGAACCGGCGTTACGAATTGAGAGGTTTGGTGGCTTCAAGCCTGGGTTTGTTTCCTGTGACAAGCGCGGGTGGAAACGCCCGTATACTTGATTGAATGACGGGAGTATGGGTTTGGATTTCTACTTCACTCGGCATTCTGCGTTCAGACTTCTACGTTCAGACTTCTACGTTCAGACTTCTACTTCACTCGGCATTCTGCGTTCAGACTTCTACGTTCAGAATTCTACGTTCAGAATTCTACGTTCGGAATTCTATTCCACGTTCAGGATTCTACGTTCAGAATTCTACGTTCAGAATTCTATGTTCAGAATTCTACGTTCAGAATTCTACGTTCAGAATTCTACGTTCAGAATTCTTAACGCACTCATTGTATTGGGAGAGACTGTTTGTTGTCAACCGAAGGAAGGGTGTTGAGCTGCCTCCGTCCGTCGTCCGGGCCACAGAACAATACAGGCCAGGAATCTTTGGCGAGCCATGTTTCAGGGAAGCACCTGGAGCCCGAAGAATACACCCCGATACCAGATCTTCCCCAGCGTGGCGTAAGGTTTCCGAAGCCAGCCTCTGATGGCCAGAGCCAGATCATGTCTACCATAGAATGAAGCGTGCTGCACGGCAAGTATTGGGAACTCCAAGACCATGTGAGATCGGGCAGCCTCTTCCACGGGAGCCCGAGCACGGGGGACGATCGCGCAAACACTCACCCAGGGCCGTGGAGCCTGCGTTTCTTCGCGTCGGCCTTGCCGCCCAAATCCACCACGCCTGCGTCGGTGATGGTGGGCAACATGGCGGCGAGGCGCGCGAGGTCGGTGGCGATTTCACACGGCGAGTCCGGGTAGAGCCGCTCGTACGCCGGCATTTGCCGCACGTGGTCCTCCGTAATGAGGCTGCGCAAGCCATAGCCCGCGCCAAGCACCGGGGTGATTTCCTCTTGCGGGTTCGGCGCATGGTAGAAGCGCGCCGCTCGCTGTGGGCCCATCTCCCGGCAGAACTCGGGCTCGCTCACGTACAAGCGGAAGTCGAGGTTCGCCGGGAACTCCTTGCCCTCGATGTCCTTGTTCTTCTTGGCCTTGGGCACCGGCGCACTGCCGTTTTCCTGGACGTAGAACTGGCGCAAGAGAGCGATGGCCTCGGGCCGCATGATCCCGCCCATGCTCCGGTAGCACGCGGCGCCCTGGACGCGGAGCACCGTGCCGTTGCCCCCGAAGCGGTCGTTGGCCGCGCCGAAGTACACGCGGCCGATGCCGATGTGCTGGAGGGCCAGCGCACACATGACACAGGGCTCGATGGTCACGTAGAGCCAGACGTCGGCGAAAAACGCGGCGATTTCGTGCGCCGGCGCCCCCAAGAGCCCGTGCCGGGCCAAGAGCGCGTCGATGCCGAGGAACTCCGCGTGTCTCGTGCCGTTGAGCGACCGGTTGGTGTCGTTGCAGCCGTACGCTAGAATTGCCTGGGAGGGCCCGTGGACGAAAACACAGGCCACCGGGGTCTCGCCGTTCTGCAACGCGCGGAACGCCACGAAAACGGCAAGCGCCATGTTGCGGAAGTGGCGCGTCAAATCCGGCGTCGGCGGGCCGTCCATTGTGCGTGGGGGGCCGGTGCCGACGGGCTGGAACCGGAGCCTTGGCCGATGACGAGGTCGGGGTCCTGCACACAGCGCCCGGCTCCCAGGCCGCGCGGGGACAAGCTGCGTGCTCTGATGGTGGTCTTCCTGACGGGTTGCTGGAGGCGGGAGCAAACCGCCGGTACGTTTTTAGAGATCCCCGTTTTTAGAGATCCCCGTTTTTAGAGATCCCCGTTTCGTTGAGACCCACGTTTCTTTGACCGTCTTCTTTCAAGACTCGAGTATTCTTTGAGACCCACGTTTCTTAGAGATCCACGTTTCTTTGAGACCCACGTCTTCTTTTGAGACCCACGTCTTCTTTCAAGACTCGCGTATTCTTTGAGACATAAGTCTTCTTTCAAGACTCGCGTATTCTTTGAGACATAAGTCTTCTTTCGAGACCGTCTTCTTTCAAGACCCACGTCTTCTTTGAGACCACGTCTTCTTTTGAGACACACGTCTTGTTTCAAGACTCTCGAATTCTTTGAGACCGTCTTCTTTGAGACCCACGTCTTCTTTTGAGACACACGTCTTGTTTCAGGACTCGCGTATTCTTTGAGACCGTCTTCTTTCAAGACTCTCGAATTCTTTGAGACCACGTCTTCTTTGAGACCACGTTTCTTTGAGACCACGTTTCTTTGAGACCACGTTTCTTTGAGACCGTCTTCTTTGAGACCACGTTTCTTTGAGACCACGTCTTCTTCAACACCCGCGTCTTCGCTCGACCCCCACCGAGCCCTCTGCTTGGTGCTCCGTACAGGTAGTGCCCCGAGCCTGGCCCCGCCACAGCGACTGCGGGAGACCCGCTCCCGAGACCCCACCACCGAGACCAGGTGTGGATAAAAGCCACGCCGGAACCCACGCCCCACCCCTTGTGTCGAGCGGTACATCGCCGCAGCGCGCCCTCCCCCACCATGAGCGGGTTCCGGAAAAAGGCCGTGCTCAAACGCGCGATGGACTTTGGGTTGGACCCGGTCGCCGAAACGCCGCCGCCTGCACGCTCCTGCGAGCCCCGGCCGGCGCCGGTTCCGGGTGCTGCGGCCACAGAAACCCCGCCGCCGGCGGCCGCCGCCTCGTGCGCAGCGAAAGCGGCGCTTTTCCCCGTCCAGGCGGCGTACACCGACCCCGCGACGGGCGTCTGTTTCAACACGTACTACGCGCCGGCAGGGTCGCCGGCCGCGCCGCTCTATGTGTGCCACCACGGCGCAGGGTCGTCGGCCATGACGTTCTGGTGCTTGGCGCGGCAGCTCCGCGACCTTGCCGAGGGCGACGACGTGCCCGGCGTCTTTGCTTTCGACGCGCGGGGGCACGGCGGCACGTGCCCGCCAGGGCTCCGGTACACGTTGGCGGACCTCGCGGGCGACTTTGCGTTTGTCATGCGCGAGTTCTGCGAGCGCCACCGGCCCGGCAACCCCGTGTGCTTGGTGGGCCACTCGCTCGGCGGCGCTGTGCTCACGGAGTTCGTGGCGCGGTTCCCGGACCTGGACTGCAACGTCCGCGGGCTCGTGGTTGTGGACGTCGTCGAGGACACGGCGGTGCGCTCGTTGCTGCAGATGGCGGTGTTCCTCCACAAGCGGCCGCGGGCGTTCGGCTCGTACGGCCAGGCCATCCGCTGGCACCTACAGACGCGCTTGCTACGGAACGAGGAGTCGGCGCGCGTCAGCGTGCCCGAGTTGCTTGTGCGCGGGCCCGGCGGCGGCTTGGTGTGGAAGGCCAGCCTCCTGGACATGGCGCCGTCGTGGCACACGTGGTTCGACGGACTCTCGCGGAAGTTCTTGGCGTGTCGCTTGACAAAACAGAGCCTAGCGAAAATGCTCGTGCTCTCCAGCAGCGAGACTTTGGACAAGGGCTTGACCATCGGCCAGATGCAGGGCCGCTTCCAGCTCGTGGTGTTCAACAACTCCACCAACGCGGGCCACTTCCTCCACGAGGACATCCCGCGGCAAGTGGCCGCGACGCTCTCCGAGTTCATGCGCCGCCTCTGCGGCTCGCACGCGCAGAGCCGCCAGCGCAGCATCGCGCTCTGGGGGGGGCCAGATCCACACGTAGGCTGCGGCCTCCACCGACCCAATCTGCGGCCTCCACCGATCCAATATGCGGCCTTCACCGACCCAGTCCACGCCCACCTCAGTCCACGCCGAGGCCCTTGCTGTCGAGGCCCCCGTTCTGCTCGTTGATCCTGGCCACGATGCCGTCGATGTTGCGGCTCGCAAGCGGGAACCGGGGGTTGATCAAGAACGGGCGCAAGTCGAAGCGGTTGTCGTCGGGCGAGTACTGCTCCGCGTGGTACGAGGGCGTCATGGTGGTCATCTTGTGCCTGTTGATGGCGTAGAAGAACCAGAAGCGCTTGACCTTCTCCGCAATGACCTCGGCCGTGTAGTTGAAGGGCGGCTGCGACCACTCGTGGTACAACTTGACGAACATGGACTCCGGCCCGCACTTGTCCACCTTGCGCAACCGGCCAAACACGGAGAGCTCCGCGTACGACATGCCCATGTCCACCTCGTCCGACTGCACGTAGTCCTCGGTGATGGGCTCCAACTCCGCCGTGGGCGTGGCGTCGAGGAATTCGCGGAGAATGGGCAAGCCGAAGCCCGGCTCCGCCCACGCGATGAAAGCCTTCAAGTCGGTCTTGGAGATGCCGCCGATCGGGTTCAAGTCCGCGCTGGAGCAGTCGTACTTGGTCAAGTAGCCCCGCAAGCACTCGTCCACGTTGGCACTGCCCAACACGAGCAAGCCGCCCTGCTTGCTGCGCGTCCAGGGCAAGAGCTGCGCAAAGAGGTAGCTGAGCACCATGCGCAAGCGCGCCTGGATGTTCTGCAACGCCAAGTTCTCCGTTTGCGAGCCGCCAAAGATCTTGAACACGGGCCGCTTGCCCGTGGCCACCTCGAACACGCTGACCACACCCGCCACGAGCGTGTCCATGTTCATGTCGATGTGGTAGGAGCCGATCTTGGCCGCGAGCTGCTTGGCCCGCAGCCGGGTGTCCGCGGACGAGTTGGCCGTGCCCATGAACGACGTGTAGAACAAGCGGCCCGCGACCTCCTGCGGCGTCGTCGGCTCGAACTGCGCGTCGTGCACCAACATCCGGAGGTCCGCCAACACCGTGGCGTCGCCGGCCTGCACTGCGGCCACCACGAGCCGGCACATGGAGTGGACGATGACCGCCGTTGCGCACGAGTCGATGCCGCCGCTCAAGGGCAAGAAAAAGCCCGCGGTCTTGGACCGCCGCAAGTAGTCCCAGAGCCAGCACGCGGGCCCGAGCGCGATCTCCTCCTCGGGCGTGTGGTAGCGGATCCGGGCAAGCGGCTTGGTGGGGCGCACGGAGCTGTCGAAACTGCGCGCCTCCGGGCACATCTCGATGTCCGTGGCCACGGTGTGGTAGGGCGTGTTCTGCGTCACCGACTGGAGCGCCGCGGACTTCATGTTGCGGTACGAGCGCACGTCGTCGAGGTCGATGGTGGCGGCCACCACCTCGACGTCCGCAAGCGAGAACTGCGAGCCCTGCGCCACCATCTGGCCGTTGACCACGATGCACGCGCACCCGTCATAGTACAAGCGGTCGCCGTCGCAGCCCTTCTGGTTGGCATAGAGGTAGATGCCGCCGCACTTCCTGGACGCGCCGCAGATCAAGTCGAGGCGCGTGTCCAACTTGCGGAGCTCGTGGTGCAGGCCCAGCGAGTTGGTGATGATCTCCACGCCGTCGAGCGCCATGGCGAGGTGCGGCGACTGCGGCGTGAACAACTCCTCGCAGGTCTCGGCGCCGATCTTGGTCTCCAAGGTGCCCAAGACCACGTCGCCAATGACCACCGAGGCCTGGCCCGTCGCCTGCTGGATGTGCTTGGGCAACACGTACGTCTCGTGGTACCGCACGCGGCTCCAGGGCGTGAAGTAGCGCATCTCGCGGTAGTTGCCGTCGTTGGCCAAGTGCAACTTGGGGCGGATGTAAAGGATGCGCCCGTTGTGACTCAACACGCGGCAGTTGTACTTGATGGACTTGTGGATGATGGGCATGCCGATGTCCACGATGATGTCCTTGGTGTCGGGATGGGCCAAGATCTGGGCGTACACCTGCCACGACTGGTGGTAGACGTCGTTCTCGGCAAAGTGGTCGAGACACCCATACCCGCACACCTCCAACTCGGGGCCGACGCGGAGCATGGCGTTCTGCTGCTTGGCCTGGCGGATGCTCTCCAAGATCCTGTCTCTGTTGCCCTCGAAGTCGAGGGCCCACTGGTTCAAGTTGCACGTGGCGATGGTCACGTACGTGCCGATCATTGTCACGGGTGGGCTGGTCGGAGGTGGTGTGGAATCTGCGGCTCCTGACGAGACCGGGTTTTCTTCTTTGGGCCTGTGGAACGAACGAGTCCGCTCGGTTCAATGGAGACGATGGTGAAAGGCCGTTTTTTGTTGGGCCGTGGGTTCGACGAAAACGATGCTTCTTTGTTGCAGATTTCAAACAAACGCTGAGCGGAGCAACTGGTTCTACGGTCGTATGAACGCAATGGATTCTGCCTCTATGAACGCAATGGGTTCCGGTGATGCCCGCAGAACCTCGGCGAGCACCCGAGACTCCAATGTCCGGCACCGGTCGTGCGCGCGCCAGACGGCCCCAATAATATCATGACCAGGCCGGCCAATGAAGGGATTGGCGGCAAAAGATACCGGCGGCCGGAAGCCTGCCTCCGGGGCCGCTGTCTACGAGACCCAAGTCCCTTGGTCTTCCGTTTATTTTCTACATGTTCTGGCCGGGCGCCGCTCACCGCACAGTGACCGGGTCCGCGCCGCTGGCAATGTTGCACTGGTGCATCAATCTCTTCTCGTCCGCGCCGTTGTTGACGGCCTTGAACTCGCCCGTCACCGAGTGCCACACGCCGCGGTTGAAGAAAATCACCAAGTCGCCCTCTTTCCAGGAGTGCGCCAACACGTTCTGCGGCGCGATGGCCGGCCGCATCAACTCGCGCACCTTGGCCCGCGCGGCCTCCAACGCCAACGTGTCTGTTTTGTCGCCGTTCCGCGTGTGCAACTTGTAGAGGCAGCAGCCGTGGATCTGCAAGTGGTGCCTGTGCGTGACCGGATTGGTCCACACCATGGGCAACTTCTTGACCTTGGCCTGCTCCCACTCTGGCAAGTCGGCGAGCGGCGTCTCCAAGCCCTGCGAGGCCATGGTGAGCCCGTCCTTCTCGGCCTTGGCCGGCGAGATGAAGATGTACGGATGCGGCGCGTACTCCACCGTGGTGTTGAGCGCATAGTCCTTCTCGGCGGCGCTGAGCCGGTCGAACGCCGCGGCCCCGCTGACAAAACACGTGGCGCCCTGCGTGAGCGACAACTTGTCACCGGACCCGTCGTCGTAGTCGATGGTCTGCGTCTGCGTGGCCGGCGGCACCTTGATGCCCAAGAGCGTGGTCACCAAAGGCGGCGACAAGTCGTAGAGCGCCGAGTCAATGTGCCATCGGTAGAACCGCGTCTGGTGGTTCTGCTGGATCTGCGTCTCGGACAACGGGTCCTTGTGGAAGGACGTGTGCGAGGGGTGCGTGAGGCTGATTTCCTCGCCGTTCTCGTTGCCCGGCTCGCCCGCGGCAAACCGGCCCTGGCCCAAGATCTGCACCTGCGGCTGTGACTTCACGGAGGTCCCGTCTTTGCGGAGCACCGACTGCGTGTGGCGGAACTCCTTGCCGTGGCCGTACCCGGCGCCGCTTTCGCCCTTCGGCTCCGGAATGGAGGGGTCGAAGCGCTTGGTCAAGATGTATTGGCTTTTTGGCGGGAGGTCCGCTAGGCCAGGAAGCACCACGACAAGGTACGTGAGCGTGGCGTCGTACAACTTCTGGAAGTCCGTGTCGTTGAGTTTGGAGGGGTCGTTTTCGGCGTAGCTGGGCAACGCGATTGTGCAGCCAAAACCGTTGAGCGCAGGCGTGACTTGCAATTCCGAGACGGGCATGATGTTGTTGTTTTGTGGTGGGGGTGGTCCATCCTGGCACGCTGCGCCTTATATAGATTGCGATAAGAAAATCCGGGGCACGCGCGGCAGCGGCAGACCCCGCGGAGGGGCCGCGGCTTTGCCGGTCTCCGCGGCGGGCCCGCGGCCCTGGCGGGACTCCGGCTGTTCGCGCGAGCCCCTCCTTGTGTGCAGGCACCGGCGTTCCCCGGCCTGGGCCGCCCGATTGCTGCAAACCCACCGGTTCCAATACCAAGTGACTATGAACCCGGAGCTGTGCTTTCTTTTTTGCAAGGCACGGCCCAGTTCACATTTACGTGCTGCGGGAGACGTGGTTGTTATACTGTATGGTATGGTAGTATGAGAAATCTAATTAAAAGTAAAAGTCTATGCGGAGTTGTCCCATGACTGGAGAAACTGCAGAATCTCTGTTTGGAGATTGCGGATCTCGGATGTCAACCGCGTGACGAACGTGTCCTCGGCGTGGGTCCAGGGGCTATCGTCGATGATTAGTTCGCCCACGCGGCCCGTGTAGCGGCGAAGAATCGAGCGCCGTAGGCAGCCAAGGTTGTGGTGAACAGTCTCTTTGACATATTGGCTGGTGCTCTCTGGCATTGCGCTCCAGACGTCACGCAATCTTGCACCCTTGAGAGCGTGGACGCCGGTCGCCTTCTGCGACATGCTTGGAATTGCGTCCATCCAGGTCACGCTTAGCTTGTGTGCTGGGATACTCATTGTCTTGACAGACGTCAGCGCCATGGGCTTCGTCGCGCTGTTTGGCAGGGAATTGTCTGTGTCGATCTCCTCGATCTTGGGATTGACGGGCCCGGCCTGGCATGCGTCTTCGGTCGGCTGTGGGCCTGGGGCATCAGCCTCCAAGTCTTCCACACAAGCCCGCGACAGGGATATTTGGCGATACGCCCTTCCTCTCGCCACCTGTAGATTGGAGGAGTCTGGGGGCAGCGGAGGCGGGTCTGCGTCCAAAAGCGGCAGCGCCATGCTGACAAGCGTCTTTTTGTGGTACTCTTCGTAGAAAATCAAAGACGGGCACCGATCCACGAGTGTGGAGATATCTTGCGCCAGTCGCCGCCCGGGCACCAGCGAGAAGTCAGAAGGGAAAAAACATGGGGCCACGCCCGGGTGCTCGATGGCACAGAGCTGTGCACTGAAGTCCCACGCGGCGAGATACCGCTGGTCGCCCAATTTGGTCTGCACGCCAAAAGACTCGATGTTCTCCTTGGTTTGAAAAAGCGAGTATAAAGAAGGGAACCTTCCCATTCTGCAGTCCGCTGTCAGTGGCCTGGATGATCAGGCCAAGAATTGAAGAGGGGAAAAAATAAAGGGGGCAAAAAAATAACCTTACGCTTCTGTGATCCCAGAGCCGGGGCAGCGTTCGCACCACGTCTATATGCGGTCGAAGGGATTCACGTTTTTCGCGTAGAACTGTTCCATAGACTGTACAGGTGCAGTGTGGAGCCCACCGTTGTACGACTCTGTGGTCACCAGCGGGGGCAAGTTCAAAGGGGGAAGATTATGTTTGCCATGGCTCGGCGTGCCAGGGCCATGCTGGGGGTCTTGCTGGGGGAGGAGTGCTTGCGCAGCAGTGGTCCCCACTGTGGCCACCAATGGCGTACGCACCGCGGACATCGGCCCGGCTGCCAGCGGCATTGATACCGCGGACATGGGCCCGGCAGTTTGCAGCATTGACGAGGTGCCGTTGGCACCTGCGGGCGGCCCGTTGCTCATGTGCCACGTGTTGTTGTTGGGCAGCGAGCCGACCGCATCCGAAATGGCCTTGTACGAAGAGGCTTCTAGGATGATCGTGAGCTCCTTGGTAGTCTTGGTCAAGTTTGCCATGGACCCGCGCACCTCGTTGAAAATGGGCGCGTCACGCATGATGCCCTTCACGGCCGAGAACGTCAGGATCACGGCCTTGAGAAAGAGATTGATGTCGTCCCAGAAAGACCTGCGGGACGCCGGGTCGGGGCTGTCGCGGATCGCAGCGAGCTTTGCCACGAGCCGCTTGGTGATTTCCATGGACGTCATGCACACCTGGGTCAACTCCTTGAACTTCGCAGCCACGGCCGAGCCGAGCGGCGCGCCCGTGCCGGTGGTGGCCGACGCCATGGCGCTCTTGCTGATGGTTTTGGTCAACTCGCTGAACACGACCTGCGCGTTGATCGTGGCCGAACTGATAGTCTGGTATAGTCTCTCGTCGATCTCTTCCAACGTGGCCACGGCCTCGGAGGCGGAAGCGATCGACGGCGTTTCTAGTGAAAGGTCCTCCAAGCCTGCTTGGCCCGCAGCCGGTCCCACCGGTGCAGGTGCCGGTTGGCTGTAGACAGCCGGGATTTGGGCCGCCTGACTGTGTCCTGTTGATGTGGGCCCTGCTTGGTTGTGTTTAACTTTAGAGTCGGCCAAGCTGGACATCAGAGACGACGCGTTCCGGGTGAGAGAAGGGAGCGGGCGAGGCGCGTTGCCCGTGTTTGTGAGGAGCCTGTGTGCGTTCTGCAACTCGTGGAGCGAGCCGAAAAGCGTGAGGAGCACCATGCGGATAAAGCACGTGTCGATCTTGGCCACGAGTGCCGCGAAGTTCTCGCTGATTGCCGTGAGGATCGTCTTGAACGAGCCGATGCAGGCGTGGAGAGAGCCGACCACAGAGCTGTGGTTGTCCTCGCCGTCCTCCATGGCCTCCATGGCTCTGACAAGATCGTCGATGTGTTCCTTCGACGAGTGGACAAGCCGCACGATTCTCAGCGAGAGCTTCTTGTCGCCGCAGAAGCCGGCAAAGCGCTTGATGGAAAGGTGCAACTCCGAGAAAGAAAAGAGGATTTTGCGGGAGGCCTTCACGATCACGCTCTTTTCGTGCATTGTGCCGTGCGTTGGTCCCAGGCCAGGGGCGTTGGGGGGTAGCAGCCCGAAGTACAGGTTTTGTTGGGCGCTCGACACTTTGCGTTTGGGCGGATGCAACTTTGGAGCCGGCACCTCGTTCTTCGCTGCCGACGGATGCCTCAGCAAGTCCGTGTCTTCGCTGGCATTGTTGGACGGCGGCGTTTCCACCACGGTCCCGTCCATGGGCGTTTCTTGCAACACAGACAAGCGCCGGAAGTAGGACACTGGCTCCGGGTCTAATTCTGCGTGCCCGTCCAGACTATGCTCCGGGTCTTTCGCCGGCTTCTGGAGCACGGCCCCTGGCACGCCAGGCGTTGCACTTGGCCCAGCGGGCTCCATTTTGGGAGACAGGACGGGCCTGGAGCCGGGCCGCGATTCCGCGTGGAGAGCGGACGTGAAAGTCGCGGCCAAAGGCGGCGTTTCCGGCGCCAAAAAGCGGCTGGCGTCGCCCAAGTCGCTATTCTCTCTGCTGGGCAACAGGAGCTTGCGCGGCGGCTTGCTGGGTGTGCCTGAGTCGCCGGCCGAGGAATAGGAGATCTTGTCGGGCGTGATCTGCTTGCTGTTGATGATGAGCCCCATGCGCCTCGACGCCTTCAGCGACCGTGTGCGCGTATCCACGAGAGACTGCGTGCGTTCGATGGAGGGCATGGGGGAAAACATGGGCCACGGCTGGCCGGACGCCTGGGGGTCTAGTGTGATCTCCGTGCGCTGGTCGCAGGGCGGGCTGCTGGGCAGCACAAGCGCCCGCGGATCTCTGGATCGGGCGGGCGTGGTGTTTTCTGCGTCTGCATTCGGCGCCGCGAGCGGGTTGCCGGAAACAACGAGCGTTTGGAGGCTGCTGATGCCGCTCAAAGCAGGGGGCACGTGCGTGATGCGGTTGTCCCTGAGCAGCAAGAACCGGAGGCTCCTGAGCGGGGAAAACAGCGCCGGCTCCACCTGCGTGATCCAGTTGTTCAGGAGGTCCAAGTTCTCCAAGTTCGGGCAGTGCAGCGCGAGGTTTTCGGGCACCGAGAAAAGCTGGTTCAGGCGCAAGTCGAGCGTTCGTAGGCTGGCGCTGCAGAGCAGCCAGAACTCCGCGGGAAGCCGCTGGAGCTGGTTTTCCGCAAGCCCGATGTGCTCGAGCTGGATGGGCGGGCTGTGCTGGTCGAGGATCATGGAAAGCGTGCCGCAGATATCCGCCAAGGTCGATGTGGGGGCGAAATCGTCCACGCAAATGCGCACGGAACGCTTGTGGCGGATATTTTCCGCCTGGGCATGAAACGCCTCGGCGATTCCAAGCGCCTCGCTGGACTTGGGGGGCCGGGACATGATGCTGTGGCGGCGTTAGGACGGTGTATGGAAGACCTGGACTTGTCGTGTGGAGGAGCGTGCACATCTCCCATGATCTGTGCTGGCGATTACGCGCGCGTGCCGATCAATACGCAGGGCCAGGCGTATGCCCCGGAAATGGCGATCTGTTCGGTTGGAACCACTTGGGTGGAAAATTCTTGCGTTTGATTCACGTGCGGGTTTTCTGGGATTCTGTTTGCTGTCGGGTCTGTCATGTTAGGGGGCATTTCTTAGGGGCGTTCTGAGTTTTGAAATCCTGGCCTCGCTTTATGGGTCCAGTGCTATGGAGCTGCGGGCCCTGCTGGTTCTGGTGTGCTAATGTATTGACCTCTCACAACGTGTGCGGGATATAAATAAGACAGACCAGCTAGCTGGGTATAATGTGTTAGACTATTATTGGTGTTCCGCTTTTTGAAATGATTTACAAACATCGGGCTGTATTCTTAAATTGATGGCTTATTGTGGTGGTGATATTTGCAATTTATTGAGAATAAAACAAGGATGCTTTTATACTGTGATGATATTTTCATTTTATTGAGAATATAATTAGGGTCTATGAGAGAAACACAGGAAGCAGAAAAAATAGAGACAGAAAGGAAAGAAGAAAAGAAACGGATCACAGCTATACTCCGAAAGGATGAATGGAGAAATGGTGAAATGGTCTCCATCACATCGACGTCTTCCGGTAAGTATGCCTTAACACAAGCTATGGTACACCAGAATTAGTATACCCTCCTTAGAGGCTACACCCGGAAACGCCGGACACTGGGTCAATTCAAGAAAAGCACACGATCTGAGCTCTCGGCTTTCCCGAAAATGGTGGCTTCCTAAAGGCTCGAGCACTAGTGTACGCTTCGAAGTATTGGCTGCGAAAGATGGAGGCGACTGCTGCAATGGATTCTTTTTATCATGCCTTCTGAGGCTGGATCTTTCAACAGCAGCCGAAGCGTTAGCACTTGTTTCGTGCGATATCGAAACATTACAGGAACAGAATGTTTGGACATGACAATCTGTTTTCTGCCAATCTGATTTCAAGATACCCTCAAAAAGCCACGGCCCGTTGAGCCACTGGTCGATGCCGTGGCGACGTCTGCCTTTTAATTTCCAGTGTTTTGTCGTGATGGCCGTTTCTTGATTCTTCCATTTCGGGGCAATTGATCACGCGAGGGCTACACTTTAGCCGGCTCCCAGCTTTTGCCAGAGTGGAACAGCGAGGGGTGGGTTTGAAGCGCAGTCACGCCAGAATCGGAGGGGCGACTAGAGTACTCTTCTCTCGGGTCTGTCAATCGAAAGGCAACGTATGAGTTTGGATCTTTGCGGCTCTATATACTTGAGTCTCTCTTTCTCTTTCTCTTTCTCTTTTTCTTTCTCTTTCTCTTTCT